GCAGTGGGTTGCCATGGGCTACCGTGTGTAGCCGTGTGTAGCCGGCAGCCAGCGTGAGCAGCCAGCAGCCACCGTGAGCAGCCGTCCAGAAGCCGGCAACTGATCTGCCTCGCGTGTGAAGAGCCCAATGATGGTGCCAGCTTGGGCCAGTGAAGCAATGTCCTCCACAACTAGATTGAAGAACAAAAAAGGACAGCAACTTGTCTGTTCCCTTTCCCTCAATTCCCCAGCACTGTTCCCATCCCCCAATACCCCAATAAAAATCTTAAAAAAAAAAAAAGAAATTAACGAATTAAATCATACCTCATAAATAATTCTCTGTACAAGGTCAAATTCTCCCTCCAAAGATGAATCTAGAAGTAAGGCAAGGGGGTTGAATTTCACCCTCATTCCATGAGCAATTCGCTCTGAACCAGTTTTACGCAAGTTTGTCCTTTTGCCCTGCAGAAGAAATGCATGGGAAATTAAGGATTCTGGTCTAAGCAAGAGAGATCAACAAAAGGGGAGGAATAGCATGTCAGTTAAGTTAGTAAAGGACACTTTAAGAATATATATATTTAGCACTTTTTATTGAACTGCTCAGAAAAGTATATATAGAGGGTGCCAAAAAAATGTATACACATTTTAAGCGATGTTATCTATGTAGCAGTAGTTCACCGTAATCAGAAATGTCTGGACACTGATGGTAACCACTTTGAGCACCTCTTGTAACTGCAGAAGTCAAACGTGACTATATATCGAATATTATAGTTTTAATACAGGTTTTTCCTTTCTTAAAATATGTATACTTTTTGGCACCCTCTGTATATCATAATGTGTAGCTTGATGAACACACCCATGTAACAAATAAGAACTTAATCTAGTGAAATCACATTTGGTATTAATAATCCATTACAGCATAAACCAAGAGTATAATCTCCAATGATAAGTAAACTAGTTTCCTGTCAAGTATCAAAATTACCCCGATTGGTCCTTCAGTGACCTTCCTAATACAGTATAGCAAACCCCACACAGTTAAATTGGGCAAGAGCAACAGCTAATAATTACTGTATGATTATTTATTTATTCCTCACGAAAACCCCATTACCTCATTTTACAGATAAGGAAATTGAGGCACACAACCAGTAAACAGCAGAGCTGGAATTCAAATCCAAGTAACCTGGCTTCTTTGAAGCCCTTCTTCTTAACCATTTCGTGACAGAATGCCTCCTTGCAGGGAAAGCACATAATTAAGGTAAATAATAAAGATCAGTTTGTCTTAATTTAACTATACTCCAAGATACGTGAGTGAATTAATCAAGTCTTCCTACATTTTAATGTCAGGCTTTAAAACATAAGGCAAAATTTTTACGACTAGATCTAACATCCTATAAAATGGGTTTCTTAAACACATCTAACAAAGTGGTAATGAGTCCTAAGGTGTGACATGCTGCACATGTCTGTTTTATGTCAGATGCGGGAAACTACCAAACTCTGAATACCATTAAGTGGCAATCAATATATTTCACAAATGTTCAATGACTAAAATGTTGTTTCTTGAAAAAAAGAAAAACAGTGTAAATATAATATGACTAATAATACAACTGATAAGGACACCTGCCATGCCCATTTTCAAATAAAGTATGAGATAGTGGCTTCTATTTTATTTAAACTAAAAAGATAAAATAAATCTCATTCCTAGGAAGAAAATACTAGAACCTTAAAAAGAAAGTATGATTTTTATTTTATTTTATTTTTTTTTACAAACTCTGGTTTTCTTTCTCCTCTTTGAAAGTCTGAATTATTTTGGCACAACAACAAAAAGAGATGGGAAATAACAAAAGTAGATGTGAAAACGTCCTTCCTTTTCATATGTTTAACACTCAAATGAAGAGAACCATGCCTCAGGACTTGCAAGGCAGAGTTGTTTAAAAGGTGTTGACCTTTGCCTTAAAACATTTTTTTCCTAGAATCCAGTGTTTACTATATAAAACTTATAAGCAAATGTTTATTGTAACCAGTAGCTAAAGCAACTTTGGATAATCCTTATCTTTGAATATTATCACATCTAAAAGATGTAATAAGGGATCAAACATATAAAGAACTTTTCCAAAAATCCTTGTAATATGCTATTTTGCTTTTGACCAGGTTTAAAAAATTCATAGCTTGGCATCCCACTGAAATGAAATGACTTCAAATTAAACTCTGACAAAACTGACTTTCTTTAAAGACAATCTGGGATTTTTATCTTCTCTCATCTATTTCTAAGTGATATGATAAACTTCCAAACAAAAGCTTAATATTTGGAAGGAGAGTGGAAGACATGCCCAAATCAAAACATACAAGCCTCAAGATAACTTACAAACCTTAGGGGGGAGGAGGGGGGTCATTATGCTCCCCAGAGATTTCACACTATGTTGAAGGTAAGAAAGAGGCTAAGGAAGTGTTCGCTCCACCCTGCCCCCATTTTATCCAGAACTTTCCAATTTTCTCAGTGTTGGGAGTTTGAGGTTCCACGTAAATATTAAAAATAAATTTCACTGCTAGAAAAAGAAAAGTTTGAAAGAGCACTACCAGCACTGCGAGCAGTTGAACCATCAGCCTGGTGTCACAGAACTAAACTAGGAATGGGAAGTTGCAAGTCCAGGTCCCTCACTCCCCGCTGAGTGTTGCCTCCCTCGTGTGTGGCATCAGCTAGGTAAGGAAGAGCAAACGTGGTATTTACAAGTCCAAGAACAAAACTGTTTCCTTCACACACAAAGAAGGGTTCTTCCGAAAAAACAAAACTGTTCTTTGTACTAAACATAGTGAATTTTGAAAACATTTCGAAGCCCCGCTCTGTGCCAACAGAACTGTACAATAAAAAGCAAGCTGTAAAGCACATTTGCTACCACAGGCAGCGTAAGCACAAACCCTCTTTTGCAAATGGCCCTAAGTGTTTGCTGGTGTTTCACTGAGCTCTGACAGTCAACCACCCAGAAGTGTGACAAGGCTCCCGAACGACCATGAGGCACCACATTACTTACAGGAGGCAGAGACACCTGCCCAGTGATTTCAGGCGGGCGCATGCTCCCAGAGTCTTCTCCTGGGCCCTCCAATTCCCCCGACGGGTATGGCGGCGGTGGGTACGGGGGGTACTCCTCCAGGTACACTTCAAGCAGGTGGGGAGCCTCTGGATTTGGCTCTTCCACGCTGTTCTGGAAATTTGGGCTGCTGTCTGGGACTCCTTCAGACACATAATCAAGTCCCGGAGAAGGAGCTGGCATGTCGCTGTTCTCTGTACTGGCGCTCCCGGCTTCCTCTGCGGACACTGTTTCGGGGAGCAGAGAGACCACCTCCTTCTCTGGCTCCGCATGTAAATATGGATTCTGGATTTCCACTGGGCTTTCTGGGCTGGCAGTCACTGAGGTCGACTTGGGGGGGTACGATGGCACAGAGATGGTCTCCATGGCAGCGATGGTGGTCCGCTGATACAACAGCTTCTGGATGTTCGGCCCATTAGGACCCTCTGGCTCTGTAATAGAGCTCCGTTTTTTTAGTGGCCTTGGTGCGTTAGACAGTTTCTTCCGTAGGGCTTCTAAGTCAGCATCGCTCTGATTTCGGTAAGGATTCGATAAGAAAGGCAGTAATTTGGTTGGGCTGAGGGGTCGAGGAATTCTTTCATTTTCGTGGTTCTCCTGAGCTGAAGAAACAGGCTCTGGTTCCGGTTCCGGGCTGCCAGGTTGGCCCTGGCTACCAGAGTAGATGTTCTCGGGGTGCTGCTGCTGATTTTGGGCACTAGCCACCACGGGTTTGCCATATACTAATTGGAAACAGAAGAAAAGCCCTGATTAGAGTTAACTGAACAAAACTGGCAGGTCACAGACACAGCTAACATAATTAGAGCCTCTTCTAATTTCATATTTACTACATAAAACCCTCCACTATGACTAATTTTTGTAACAAATGACAAAGCAAGGCTTCCATCTTTGCATCTTAAACTTATTATAGAGTCAAAACCCCCAATGATTATAACATGCACCATTATTTTATGCACCCATAAGAAAATGCTGCCAATTATAATTTTAAGAGATAACTGACTGTAGTATCCAAATTTAAAATATCAAAATGTAAAAGGAATTTAGAATCAATGAAAACTGGTAATCCTTTCATATGCCCAGATTAAAACTAAGCACAGACTATCCCATCTTTCATAATTTTCAAAAGTAAATCCATGTGAGAAATATTTGGCTTACAAAATTATCAAGAACCACTTATATTTACCAAAACTAATCCCCTTAACATTCTGATTATATCAAAAGCATCTAATTCCCAAATTATTATATTAGCAGTGTCCACCAAGACCCATGAAAAGAGTAAAATGCAGCATATATTGGATTGTCGAAAAAGTCATGACACATTTTTGCAACGAAAAACACAGAAAAAATACGTGATGACTTTTCCAACAACCCAATATATTAATGCTTTGCAGTCTATTTATGACATTTTAGGCCACAATTACATGCTTATTTCATAACTAGAAAGCTATTTTCCTTCAGTTAAAAACATGGTGAATTTTACTCTAATCCTATAAACGAATGACTCTTAGAAAGAGCCCAACAAATGACCAGATTACACATGTTTAAAACAAAGTAATCTATGTTTTTATATTTAACTGGTGGCTGTGTCCTCATTCGAGCAACTTAAAATACAACAGAGAGGGTTATTCCTGAGCTCTCAGTTCTGAAGGAGCTCATGGCTGAGAGGGAAACGGATGCCCACAGGTAATCACAACCCAGAAAACGACATCTTTCCTGTTTTATCCATCAGTTTTACTCATCTCTTATTTTCATAGTATTTCATTTGATTCATCTGTTATCATCAGTGCCTAGTGCAGTAGCTGACATTTCGCAAAAACTCTTAATTTTAAACTCCCAGTTAAGAACAGAAGCCACAATGAAACAAAACTCTCAGAACAAAAGCATGGGTCAAATCGGGACAGGTCATTTGGCTTCCTGGCAGACAATAGCTCTGGTGGAGGACTTACACACATCACCCACGCAGGTGGAAACAGGACTGAGAACCTTACCGCTGGAAAAGTGTGGCCCTCTGGGCTGTGTCTTGGTCAGCGCGCTCTGCACTGCCTGCTGGAAGTTTTTTCCGGGAGCCTGATGCTGGGTGTACATGGAGTATATGGAGCTAGCTGCCACGGTCTGGGGTTTCCTGAAGGGGGGAAGAAGGGCGTCTTTGGAAGGCTGAGGTGTGAAAGGCCGGACAGCGGCAGCAGGTGGGCTTTCTGGCTTAGAACCTGAAAGAAGAGCTTGGTCTTGGCTGACTGAAAGGCCGCCGGGGGACAGCAGGACCCTCTGTGGATGCCCGGCTGTTTTGGGTTTATTTCCTATGGATGCAGCAGCTATTGACAATTGCTGAGGGTTTCCATCTGGCTTAATGTCTGATGGTGACTGATTCGTTTGTCCAAAATAAGGCAAATTAATCTGCTTGGGTTTTGATGGAACAGGAGGTGGTACTTTCGCCATGTTTTTATTTGCAGCCTGTAAGACACACACAAAGCCAATGAAAGTACTGCATAAGTGGGCACACAAGATGTTCTAGAGCAGCGGTTCTCAACCTGTGGGTTGCGACCCCTTTGGGGGTCGAACGATCCTTTCACAGGAGTCGCCTAAGACCACCAGAAAACAAAAAGATACTTACATTATGATTCATAACAGTAGCAAAATTACAGTTATAGAGTAGCAACGAAAATAATTTTATGGTTGGGGGTCACCACAACATGAGGAACTNGAAACTTTTAAGACTCCTGTCTGCTTCCAAAATGGGAGTGAGGTGACTGTTACATGAGGACACTGATGCCTCAAAAAAGTCCACGTTTCTCCTTCTAGATTATGAGTGCCGTGAGGTCATACACAGACACACTTCCAACGGCACTGCTTGCTCAGAGCAGACACAACTAGTGTTTCAGTGGCGTTTCCAGGAAATCTTACCATCCATCGCTATCAGCAGCATTTACATTCACACCAAACTGTACCAGGAATTTCACAATTTCTGTGTGACCTGCACACACAGCATTGTGAAGAGCTGTGATGCCTTCATCATTAGGCAGGCTTGGGTCATCAACCTGTAACAGCAATCAGGAGGGTGACCGTCACTCGAATTTCTTGTCACCGGAACTGTCACTATTAACTACCTCTTTAGGCTCAGGAGAACAGGAATAGACACTTGTGGTATTTTTTTTTTTTAATCATAATTAGGACCTACAGGAGCCAAGAAAACTATACCAAGAACAATTCTAGAAATAAGACAGACGGAATAGCCACATTAAGTAGGCACTCACTATAAAAAGGTTTTTTAAAAATTGAGGAAGTAACAGAAACTATATCCTTATAGTCACTTTTGTTTATTTATCCTCCAACTTCCCACCACAAATTAGTGTCTAGTAGAAGCGACATTTTCCATGGAAAGGAAAAAAGGTTAACTAAAAATATTTTAAATAGTAGGCTTCTGAAAAGTACAGACCACAGCTGTATGTAATTTCCCACTGTCCAGTACAAACCATACATGAGCAATTTTTAAAGGAGAGAAATGATCTCCCCGAGAAAAAAATTACTCTAGGGGACCCCTAGTGAAAACTGAACTTCAGTGTTGTTGAAAATTTTAAACACCTTTAGAGTAGCAAAGCCTGTTTTGGAGCATGCTGGAGTGTTTCTCTTCACAACCCCACCTTCCCCAAAAGAAAGCAATTTAAAAATACAACTTCTCTATAGTAGCTTTCTGATTAGAGCTCTAAAACTAACTACAATACAAGGTCGTGTTTAAGAAATTAATGAATTAGGACCAGCCGAGTGGCGCATTGGTTAAGAGCTGGCTTGGGACGCCAGAGGGCCCCGGTTCGGATCCCACATATGAGGGCCAGTGACACTGCCCTCTAC